AAAATGCAGTTTTTTTCCGGGAAAATTTTGTTGGTGGTAATGGTGAAGGAGAAAATGGTTCAGTTTGTTCTCAGCAAGGAAGCAAGGGAGTTAACCAAGATGCTGCACTTCTCTACCAGGTGATTTTCTATTCTCTTTTCTTCTACACAAGGGTAGTGCAAACTGCGGATTGTGCGTGTGTGTATATATATATGTATATATATAGTATAAACCATTACTATATCTTTTGAACTTTCAACGACCCATTTTGTGAACTGGGTGATCAGTAATCATGTCTTTAGTATGGTTTTATGAATGATTTAAACTTGTTTAGCTTAATGAATATCATTATAATATATATATATATTTTTTAATATGCCGCACGTATGTATCTAACTTGTCAATTATATAAATAACTGAGATTACCATATTTGAGAAATCAAAAGAGTTTTAATGTCTAGATGAGTTAATATCAATTCTAAAATGTTTATATCTAATTTTTAACAACCCTACTCTATTAATAACTTGAACCCATTTAGATCAAACCAAAGCACTGGAACTGAGTCTTAATAAGTTTTTCAGTTATATATACATATAATAATGTAATATATATATATATTATATTGTCGGATTGTTAGGGATATGGAATGGAAGATGGAGCTTTCTGTGGAGTTTTTGACGGGCATGGAGTGAGTGGAGACACAGTGAGCAAGATTGTGAGAAATCGTCTGCCATCCTCAATCATGAACCAAATTAACAGTGTCTCACCAAACAAGGATTTCCATAAATGGCAACAGGCTTGTATTACTGCCTTCAAATTAATGGAAAACGAGATTAAGCTTCAGAAAAACTTGGACTGTTCTTGCAGTGGAACCACAGCTACCATTGTAATCAGACAGGTTTGTTTTTAATTAATTAATTTATTTTTTATTTCAAATTTAGTTCAAGACACCATTGTTCGTCCTTATAATTTTCCTTGTTCCTAATTATTATCAGGATCGAGAACTTGTTATTGCTAATATCGGCGATTCAAGGGCGGTGTTAGGCGCAATACAAGAGAACGGAGAATTGGAACCGGTTCAGTTAACTACTGACTTTAAGCCTGGATTGCCTGGTAATTAAGACTCCTCCTCAGTTTTATATTAATCGATTTGCATATGTATAACTATTTTTATCTGTTTAAAAGTACAGACAACATTAACATTACACTGCTAAAGATGATAATAACATTAGAGCCACAAGTTTAATAACATAGGGTTTTAGTAACAGTTTATGAGTTCAGAGTTACCATTTTTTTTTCTCTCTTTTAAAAAGTTCATTTCATTTGTAGGCGAAATGGAGAGAATAAGAAAATGTAATGGAAGAGTGATGGCTAAGAAGGATGAAGAACACATTCAACGAGTGTGGCTACCTCATGAGGACTTGCCGGGTCTAGCCATGTCTCGATCTTTTGGTGATTTGCTACTTAAAAATCACGGCGTGATAGCGCTCCCTGAAGTTTCCCATCACCACCTTACAAATAAAGACCAATTTGTAGTTCTTGCAACAGATGGGGTAAGCCATGTTTTATACTTAACACATGGCATAACTACAGTACATAACATGTCTACACACACACACACACACATATATACATATACTTAATACCGTTCATTATTGTGAAGGTGTGGGATGTCCTTAGCAACAACGAAGTTGTTTCCATTGTATCGAAAGCAGCCGAAGAAAAGGTGGCGGCAAGGACGCTGGTCGAAGCAGCCACAACGGCATGGAGAAAAAGTTTCCATCGTCCAAGATTGACGACATCAGTGTGGTTTGCCTATTCCTCAACAAAGCTCACAAACCTAATCCTTGATTTTCGACCATAAATCTGCATAAGTTCTAATTAAGAATTTCTTTACGATGATTAATTACCAATACAAAGTAAATGTTTATCGTAGTCTTCCTATCTTAGAAATAGAGTTATATTTATAAGTATTAGATTTGCCATATCTTTT